AGAGGTGATGGAATGGAACAGAGATTCCATTCCATTGTTTTCTTATTTTTTTATAATTTGATCGAAATAACAAATTAGTTCATTCCATTGCATACACCTCAAATTGGAGGAATGGAGCTTAACTTTAGATTTTTTTATGCTGACTCTTTCTTTTGAATGTTGCAGGAGAATAGTAAAACAAAGCATCCGCAACTACTTTTCGAGGCAAAGCTCTACAATGTTCTTCAAGGAGGAAGTATGCATTTTGCAAAAAAAAAAAATTGTGGTTTGGCGGAGGTAGAGGTAGAGGTGTGAGTGTGAGTCATGAGGTTGAGATTTTAGATTTCTTGTTGCAGGTGGCATTCCAAGCATAAAATGGTATGGTGTAGACGGGGAGGATAATGTACTTGCCATTGATTTACTTGGCCCTAGTCTTGAAGATCTTTTTGTATATTGTGGAAGGAAGTTTTCATTGAAGACTGTGTTATTGTTAGCTGATCAAATGGTATGGTGTCCGGCTTCTCTGTTTTTTACCAAAACATATGTTTAATTCATATGTTTTATAATGTTTGATACTAATTCGTTCAATTCTCTCTTGTTTTTCTTCTATTTGTTATGTGCAGATTACTAGAATAGAATATGTGCACTCTAAAGGATATTTGCATAGGGATATTAAACCCGATAACTTCCTCATGGGACTTGGTCGGAAAGCTAACCAGGTAACTGTCTTTTTATTGCTAGCTAGTTGGATTTGCCCCTCCATCAAGTATTTGTTGCTACTTATTGAGTTTCCACTTGTGTGTGTAATTGTGTTGTTCTTGTTAGGTTTACGTAATTGACTTTGGGCTGGCAAAACGGTATCGGCACTCCACAAGCAATCGCCACATCCCTTACAGGTAGTTCTTCAGTAACCATTTTTAGTTCATTATTTTCATTTTCAACATTTATATCTTGAAAATTGCACTCATCTGGTTATGAATTACTTTTACCATTCCACCACCTTAATCAGTTTTCATGACTATCTTTTAATACTTTTGTTTGAACTATTACTAACAAATGTAACTCCCAGGGAGAACAAAAATTTAACAGGGACTGCTAGATATGCAAGTTGCAATACTCATCTTGGGATTGGTAAGTCTGAAGTTAGAAGTAGATATTAACCTCTCAAGCTTGAATAAATGCTTACACATTCTCATTTTCCATATTGTTTTTAGAGCAAAGTAGACGGGATGATTTGGAATCTCTAGGATATGTACTTCTGTACTTCCTTAGGGAAAGGTATGCATTCTGTTCCACCTGATTCTTTCCTTAAGTATTTTGTCCATAACCTAATATCTCCCGAGACAATATAATGAATAGTCCTAAATTATAAATTACTAAATATTTTTTCTTTAGCCTTCCTTGGCAAGGTCTAAAGGCTTCAACAAAGAAACAGAAGTATGATAAGATATGCCAGAAGAAAGTATCAACTCCTATTGAGGTTAGTATTTAAGCATTTATGTGTACTGTGAAGCACATCAGCTGCCCTGAATAAAACTAATAACTGGCATACTTATTTTTTTATTTTTCCTTTCCAAAAGGTACTATGCAAATCTCATCCCGTAGAGTTTGCTTCATACTTCCATTACTGCCACTCTTTGACGTTTGATCAACGGCCTGATTATGGATTCTTGAAGCGCCTATTTAGAGACCTATATGCTCGGGAAGGTGATTGTTTTTCATTTTTCAAATAATATAAAAAAACGAATTGCACCATTTTATTTGAATGCTTTTGTAATTTCTTTTGGGGCATGGATATTATTATGAATCTTTATAAAATTTGAGTCTCCTAACCTAATCTAGTCTTCCTTTCAATGTGTCATTAGATTCTATTGAATGTATAAGCAGCTGTATAAGTAGCTTTACTGTTATTCCCTTGACTGGCAACTGTAAGTTACAGTATGCCCTAACCTGTAATAGCAGGTTACCCTTGATGCTGTATATAAAGCATCAAGGAGCCTTTTTGTAATAACTGAAAAATCAGAAAACAGAATAACAGAATTCTGTTATAGATGAATACTCTCTTCTTCTCATTCTTCTTTTCTAATAGATTCCTTTTGAATGCTATTCTTTCAATTTATATATTCTAGATGTCAAAGAAATCATGTAGCCGGGATATTGGGGAGATTAAATTAGGAGAAGTCCTTATTTTCTCAAGAATGAGGACTCAAATTTAATATATATGTGCTACTTAATTTAGACACATGAATCCTTTCGTTGTTCAGTTAGTAGTCAAGCATGCCAAAGGGCCTCTTATTTTTCATTGCTGCACCAAATATAATTTTCCCTCCCTCTACTTTTTCTTTATTTATCTCAGGTTATGAGTTTGATTTCGTTTTTGATTGGAGCATTTTAAAGTATCAGCAATCACAGAAGCATAGAGTGTCACCTTCCTTAGCTGTGAGTATATTTGCTTTTTGGGGGTAAATGATGATTTTGTAACTGGAATCTTCCCCTGCTTCTGACTATATTAAAATTGTTTTATCACAGCCAGTTCCCGGGGCTAGTAACAATCGTGCAGTCCCAATGGATGTTGACAACCATCAAGGTTTGTGTGTCATAAGTATGTTATATCATTTATAAATTTTAGATGTTACCTAAATTCCTATCAAGAAATAACTTATGTTGGTTGCTACACAAATTTATAGTAAAGGCAACACAAGTATTTTTTGTTGACAACCTGCAACATTGGCTAAATCCCTGTGTCGAAGTCTTGTCTTGGAAGATCCATTGAATGATTAGTTTTCTACTTAATCAACTCTCTTGTTTGTTATGACCTAATTCAGTTTTTAATGCATATTCAGGGCACGGTGAAGAGCGAATTAAATCAGGAAATGCTACTGGTTCTGGTGTTAAAGTTCAGTTTAAATCACCAACTGGTAGAAACTTGAGTTCTGATAACCCTCTTGACAAGAATGTAAGTCATCTTGCCTTAAAAACTCATTCTTCCTATGAAGGTTGTGATGCAATATTAAAGTTACTGTTCTGTGATCGCCCAACATTATATCTAAAATCTAAATAGATTAGCATCTAGTAATTATTCTCTTTTTGGTAGATTTTTGCAGAAGCAAATATGCCCTCTACTTCGCATTCTCCTGCTGGTACTTCAAAAAGGAACCCCTTGAAGCCTGCCTTGTCTGCCGAACCTTCCAACCCTGGACATGGGCAAGGAAGTAAAATCAGCCCTTCAAGTAGCTGGATGTCATCTCTGCAGCGCATATCTTCTTCCAAATGAATGACAAATGTGGTAATTTTCTGCTTCATGCTGTTATTTTAAGAGATTTTTGGTTCGTGTCGTTGTCCTGTCCTTTTTCCTGCTTGAGTTTTATTTGTAACTACACTGATCCTTTATCATTTGTATTTTGTAGTATTTCTATCTCCAGGCGTGAATCCTTTGAAGATCCTAGAAGAATACATGTGTGAAGCTACAAACGCGTCATGGTTTGCTTGCATCTTTTCCCAAGTGTTTGGTCTAGAATATTCAAGTGATGTATCCATGGACACAAACGCTGTGAATGTGCTGGATGGTTGACAAATTGCATAGCTCCTATTTGAGGTGACTGACTACAAACAATTGTGAAGTAGAAAATACAGTCTATCTAGGTTTAAGTGCCGGTGCTGTACATAATGTCTAATGTGGCACAGAGCATTGAGTATCCGTGTCTTCATGTAACATTAATGTGTGAAGTAGCCCATTTTCTTGTTATGTTACTTGATGATTATTATCCCTATACCATATGATAAGTGGCAATACAGCCAGGTTTTGAAATTTTAAATTTATTGACAATATTATGAATTGCAAAGGTATTTTTAGAAATACTTAAACACGATTTTTATAGGCATTGTTTCTTCTTTTACTTGTTCATTGTTTCTGTCTGAACTAGAAACAGTGCACTTGCACTTCTATAGTCTACATATCATGTTTAGAATCATGCATACATTTTTTTTCCATAGAATGGGAGAGCTCTAAACTCAAAAGAGTTTCACAAATATATATTGAACAGACTTATTTTCTTTGATCATTATCTGCATTTCATGATGGTAATTTGCACTTTTTCTTGTTAATGACCAGGTTATCAAAAATTGAAATTATATTGATACACAGCAAATATTATGGCTGAAAGGTCGCTGAAATAATGGTTTCTTATGAGTTTCCGAAGGTAGTTCTTGGGGGCATTTATTCACACTCACATTATTTCATGCTTGTCTGTTATTTTGGGTGATGGGATGATTTAATTATTAAGATCTGTATCCCATTGTTTGGAATTTATCATTTTGGCTTAAATCTTGAAGTTTTATATCAAAAGAGATAAAAAGTCTGTTCTGCCTAGATCAAAATTTTTATTGATAAGAAATTTTCAGTTTGTCTTTGATCTTATCAACTTGTTCTATGGTTTTTTAATTATAGCTCTGATGCTGAACAGGTACTTATTTATGTTTTTATCAGCTTGTTTAAGTGTTTATTATAACTCTGATGCTGAACAAGCACTGCTTTACTTGTAGGTAGCACAGTTTGACCCCTGCTGAGGTTAATTTGTGATCTCATTCTAGGGATGAAAGTGTTGATTCTAGTTATGTTTCAAGTGTGATTCAAGGTTTGAATAAATTGATGTATATTTCATGTTTTGTCTGATAACTAACTGGTCAAGCAAATTTGGTGGGTGCTCAGTATCAGTGCATACTTTACTTTTGCAGGACCTCCTTTTCCACTGAATATATTGTCTGATGGATGAAAAATGGCAGTAGTTTGCCACTTATGGATGCTACTATCTACAGGAACATACTCGTGATGCTGCTACTTCTGATGAACAAATCAGTTTAAGCACTCTGGATGAAAATGCACTAAGGAATAATTAATTATTGGTATATAACTGAGATTATGAGTCAATATGATTTCTTTGATGTGCAAATTGTCATTGTTTTCAACTTAAGAATTTTGGATTCTCTTTCTAGCCCAAAATAATCATTTGGTTTGAATTGCAGTAACAATTGACGAATGAGTTGATTTGTCTTTGCTTGTTGCAAGAGCGTGCAAGATAACACTGATCAGAAAATTTGAAAGCTCTTTGTGCTGATATAGGTTTGTTCATTTGACATCTTTGACAGTGGCACCAAAACAATAAATTCAAATTGTCAATTTCAAATTGAAGGTTTCGCAATTTCAATTCCATGTATGTGACATGCTATTTTGTGATTCTCGAGCATCCTAAATCTGTTAGAGAAGTTAAAATCAGGACCTCTGAAGTTTGATGAGCTTTGGAGTTTGATCATGTTTCACTGGGTCGGAGTGTCTGATGTTGTTTAAGAAAGTTTTGCCGTTGGGATTTTTCAATTTTTTTTAGAACTACCATCACTTGGTGACAAAAGCTTGAAACAAGAGTTGTTTATGATATGAATGTTGGTCGGGAACTTTTTTGGACACCATGTATTTCTCTATTATTCAATCCATGTTTTACATAAGAACATGATATATTATCAGGGTTTTGTGCTGGTTGGACTTGTCTAAAATAATTTATATAGATCAAAATCTCAAGATAGCTAGATTTCATATCTTGAGCTATAATTTATTCTCACAGACACTCCACATTTCTTATAGTTTAGTTTATTAGTGTTTGTTTTTCTTAATAATCTTTAGACTATGTTTAGATAGAAAGAAATGCTAGTGCGTTCATTTGGTGATGTACATGCATACTTCTTGGAGGCATTTCAGGTGTGTTTTGGACTGGGCCCGCCCTGGCCCAAGAGCAAGAACGAAGGCCTAATCCAAGCAACTCTTCCAGGAGCGCGCGCCCGAGGATTCCCGCCAGCGCGTCGACCAGAAGCTGCAGTTGTGTTCGCCGTTGCCCGTGAATACGGCGTCCTCGACCACGCGAACTCCAGCTCGAGCCCAACTCGAGCACCCTCCTCGTAGGGCAGGCTCTGACCGTTACCAAATCATCTGAACTCCAGAAAGACCGCGTCCTCGTCCCTCCTCATTTCCCGCAAAGCATCACCAGGAAGGAGACCATGTGCGGGTCCCCACTACACACGTAGAACCTAGCAGTTCCTTTATTGGGCCAGTTCTGGTCGGCCCAATGAAGGGACCTTGGTCCCGCGCTGAGGACTATAAATACCCTCTGTTCCTAGAGGGTCGGGTATTCATTCTGTTATCCATACATACACTTTTTTGCCTGCTCGTACCATCACTCACTTTAGCATCGGAGTGCCTTGCAGGTACCCCCCATTTCACTCAACTTCCGTTCGGAGCCAGTCGTGACGGTCCAAGTCTGATCAGGTAAGATCAGTGGCGCCGTCTGTAGAAAATAAGCTTCCCCGTCTTGCAAATCCTCGAAGACCAAAGCTCGATATCACTTCCTACTGTCATGGCTGACCAAGTTCGGGATGATCAAAACATCCGCGTCGTCGACACCAACAACGGCCTCGCAGACAAAAATGGACTCCCCGATAATACCGGTAACCCCGGTCATAGCATTCCCCGGGGGCACTAACCCCGGGCCCTCAGTCCACTGCGACGGAGTTACTGCCTCATCTTCTTTAGTCCCTCCGTCGCTCGAAGAAGACAACGCAGCTCCCACGAGCCACCGAGTTGCCTAATTTCAGGAAGTCCCTGTCCCCGTCGGGGCAGATGCCATAACCCGCGCACTATTTGCGGCGATCAATCAGACGAACTACCTCATCTTCGCCCAGGGGGAAAGATTGAGGGCACTAGAAGACGATCGAAGACCTGCGAGGAGACACATGAGGCCCCAAACTCCACCTCCTCGAGTAACAGAGGTACATCTCCCGTCTCCCCCGCGGAGACACTACAGAGACACCTCCCGAAGCCCGTCACCCCGACCCTCGGGGAGACGACCCCCTTTGGAGAGGCAACTCGTCATTGAAGTTGGGGGACGCGGCCACGCCCCCACACGACAAGAAAGAAGACACTCTAGAGACGGGCATGGAAGAATCAACCAACGAGCACCACGCTCGAGAGATGCCCAACACGACCAGGACCGTCGGGCTCGACAATATTACAGGTCTCCATCCTTGTCTCCGGAGCGAAGTGACGAGGACGACCCCCGCGGTCCCCTGTCACAAGCCATCATGGAGGCGCCTATTCCCCCGGGCATGGAGAAGCCTCCACATCTGAAGGAATACGACGGAGTCGCGGATCCAGTCGACCACATAGACGGGTTCGAGGTTATGCTGCACTACCACAACGTCGGGGGCTCCATCAAATGCCGGTTGTTCCCCACGACCCTTAGAAAGGCAGAAATGGATTGGTATAAAGGCCTCGCTCCGGGATCAATCACCTCGTGGCGAAACCTGAAGAACCAATTCATAAGTTCGTTCACTGCGTCTCGGCGACACCCAAAGACCGAAGCGGCTCTCGAGGCCATCATCCAGAGACAGGATGAAACCTTGAGAGAATTTATTAATCGCTTCAATCGCGAAGCCATACAGGTCCCCTGCGCGGACCACATGAAGAGGTACCTGCTGGAGAGGGGACTCCTCCCCGGCACAGAATTCAGAAAGGCGGTGGGCATCGAACTGCCCCGAACATTCGATGCCCTCCTCGAGAAGGCCCGGGCGTATATGGATTACGAGGAAAGGGAGGCGGCCAACAGAGCCCGAGACCCCAGAACTCGCGGATCCAGCAGCAACCCACTCCAGGAAGCCGCTCCTCCCCGACGAATCGGGGAGAAAAGAAAGGAGGACAGACCCCGAGAAGTCTGAGAGCAAAGAGGACCCTCGGGGCGTTTTACCGAGTACACTCCACTCACAGCTTCCCGCGAGCGCATTTTGGCGGAGTGTGCCAGCACGGACTTCAAAGATGGCGGCGTCAAACGCCCCCGACCTGCTCCCGCCAAGCCCGGAGCAGACAAAAGCAAGTATTGTCAATATCACAGGAGCCATGGTCATCTGACTGAAGACTGCATCCACCTCAAGGACGCCATCGAAACCCTCATCAAGGGAGGGAGGCTCGCCCAATACCGGCGAAACGACGCTCCTCGTCGTGATGCCCGGGAGGCAAGAGAACCGGAGGAAGACGCCTGACCATCTGACGAGTCGGTTCCCGTCCATACCGCCTTCTCCGTCACCAGACCGGAGGACTTCCACGTCCCCGAACACCTGCAGGAGCCACTCACGACGCACAACAGGTGGGAACACTTCCCCTCCGCCATGGTCATCAATGGTGGAGGATTCAACGACCTAACTATCAATTCGGATGAAAGAAAGCTGGATGAACTGGTCGACGCGACACCTCCGCAAACAATGACTTTTGAAAGAGTAAAAGGTAGGTCGGAGCCTATCACCTTTTACCTGGAAGAGCTCCCTGGAGGAGCCTCCAACGCAGTCATTCCTCTACTAATAAGAGCAAGAATGACTAACTTTGATGTGCACCGCATCCTCGTCGACGAAGGAAGTTCCGTCGACGTGATGTACAGTCAGTTGTTCCGGACTCTGCAGCTAGACGACTCGCACCTCTCGCCATATGTAGGGTCAGACTTACAGGGCTTCAACGGCTCGACCTCCAAGCCTTGGGGGTATGTCGAGCTCATGGTTACCTTCGGCGAGGGCACGACGACGAGGAAAGTTAAAGTACGCTTCCTCATCATCGACTGCCCGTCCCTCTATAACTGTATCCTGGGGAGGCCGACACTGGCAGAACTGACTGCGGTACCCTCCACCGTCCATTTGAAGATGAAGTTCTACACCAAAAGGGCACGGGTAGCTACCATCTAGGGGGACCTAGTCGCTGCTCGAAGGTGCTTCAACGCCGCATCTAAAGGACGCGACACTGTCGACATCGGGACAAGGTCCGCCAAGAGACCGGTGACGACGCGACAAGAACCCGACAAACCAGAGCCCGCCAAAGAGGAAGACCAGAGAGCTCCACCAAAAGTCGATTCCATAGCTCTGGATGCTCGTTTCGATCAGGACGAACCTCCCAACGGCGAGCAAATCCCCCTCCGACCAATCCCGGACGGGGACTTCGAGCTCGTCCCCCTCGGCGAGGACCCAAGCAAAGGAGTGAAGATTTGTATCGATCTCCCCGACCTGGCAAGGAAGCAAATCAAAGCCTGCTTGCACGAGAACGCTGACCTGTTCGCCTGGAGCGTCGCGGAGATGCCTGGACTCGACCCTGAGGTCGCCTGTCACCGTCTCGCCATAGATCCTGCCGCTAAGGCCGTAGTACAACGTAGGCGTAGGCAGTCTCCGGAGAAAACGGAGGCTGCTGAAAAAGCTGTAAAAGACCTCCTAGAGGCGAATTTTATTTCTGAAGCCCGGTATTCAACCTGGCTGTCAAACGTTGTACTAGTTAAAAAGAATAATGAAAAATGGAGGATGTGCGTTGACTATACCGATCTCAACCGGGCATGCCCGAAGGATGCTTTCCCTTTACCGAACATAGATATGCTGGTCGACAACTTGGCCGGCTACAAAACATTATCGTTCATGGATGCCTATTCAGGCTATAACCAAATCCCCATGACCATGGGCGACAAACATTGCACTGCCTTCATGACCAGCTCGGGCAATTATTACTACAACGTAATGCCCTTTGAACAAAAGAACGCAGGGGCAACTTACCAACGTATGATGAACAGGGTGTTCCACAAGCAGATTGGCGACATGCTCGAGGTCTACATGGACGACATGATTGTCAAATCCCGAGCAGACACCGATCATGCAGCACACCTCAAGGCAGTCTTCGCCAAGGCAAGACAATGTAAGATGAGATTCAACCCCGAAAAATGCACGTTCGGATTCAAGGCGGGGAAATTCCTCGGTTTCTACCTGACAGAACGAGGAATCAAAGCCAATCTCGACAAATGTCGAGCATTCTCCGACCTCTCGACCCCGACGCCGAAAAAATCAATACAAGTCATGAACGACATGCTCGCGTCATTGTCCCGCTTCGTCGCAAGATCCGCTCAGCACGCCATCCCCTTCTTCAGACTCCTTCGCAAAGAGGCAGCCTTCGAATGGACCGAGGAATGCGAACGGGCATTGCGCCACCTAAAACAAAGTCTATCCCAACCACCCGTGCTATCTCGACCAGTCGATGGGGAGCCATTCCTGTACTTGGCCGTCTCGAACAAATCCATCAGCGCGGCTCTCATCCGCGAGACCACCGACGGGCAGAAACCCGTTTATTTCACGAGCAAAGCCCTACAAGGAC